CTTTTATTCCTGCAGGTAATAAACTACACACACACACTCCCTCACGGTCCTCTTGGGCTGCTGGACATGTGAAAGTGAAGGAACACCACCTGCCGAAGTGAGTTCGTTTTATTTTCATTTAATTTTGCGAGGGGCGTTGCGGGGCCTCCATTTCTTTTCTTTTGTTTTAGTTTTTTTCGTTGGGGCACCTCACCGCGGCTCACGCTGAGTTTGTGCGCCGTGCCCGCCGCTGTTGCTGCGTGTCTCCGCGTCTTGTTTGATCCCCCCGCAGCTGGCCGTGCCGCTGACACGTCCCCATTTCCTCCTCCTCCTTCCCGCTAGAGGCAACTTTAGTTTGCGACAACGACGGCTCTTTTTTTTGTTCTCCGCTGCGGCAGAGCAGCGGCAGGCTGTGCGGCGGGCTGTAGGCCTGCCCCGTCCCTCTCGCCGCGTGCCTTGTTGGGCGTGCGCCGTGCGGTTTGCCGCAGTTGCTGCTTTTCTCCTTAACGGGACGGCGATGCCCCGGCCGTTCCTTCTTTCTCTGTTTGTGCGTGTGTTGGTCGAATGCACCCATTCCGCGGGCTGCTTATATCTGTGTGTGTGTGTGTTTGTCCCTTTTCTCTCTCTCTATTTCTGCCCCTCGCTAGACGCCGTGCGTGCGTGTGTGTGCTGCGGTGGGAGGAGTGTGTCGATGGCTGGCCGTGCGCTGTTGGTGTGCGCCCTCTGCGTGCTGTGCTGCGCCGCCGGCGGGGGCTGGGCGTGGGACCACCTGTGCCCTGCAGATGGAAAGGAGCTGGTGAACTTAACAGGGGAAGGTGGGTGGAAGTTCTGCGCTTACAACGAAATCTCTTGCGGCGGCCACTAAACAGAAAAAGGCTGAAGCTGCGGCCAGTGCCTCCACCAATAATCCGAGGGGTGCAGGCGCGGGTCACGGTGCTGCAGCGCCTTCTCATCCGGGTGGTGCTACCCAAAACAACGCAGAGGAGTCGCCTGTGCGAGCGCACGAGGCGCAGGAAGCCAGCGGTCCCTCCACAACACTTCCTGGGCCCCCGCCCACCGCAGGAGGAGAGGATCACTTGCGTCCGGAGAGCAGAGGAGAAGAACAAATAGCTTCTTCCTCTTCTGCAGCTGGGGGCGTGCCTGCTGTCG